ATAAAAAAATAATAAACTATAAATTAATTGATGTCAAAAATAATATTCAAAATTCAAATAAATAATTTGTATATTTATTACTCCCTCCGTCTCATATCTATATATCTATTTGCTTTTTGTATGGAGTTTTAGAAATATTAGTATTATATTGAGATAAAGTATAAATAAAGGTAAAAGGATTAAATTAACCATATTAGTATTGTATGATATAAAGGTAATGACATTTGTATAATATATTGTCAATTAGAAGGGTATTTCTAAGGTTAGATAAACTATACAATTACTAAAAAAGAAAATGGATAGTTTGTTATGTGACGGACCAAAATAGAAAAATGGATAGATTGACGGAGGGAGTATTCCTTTGCAATTAAATTATAAAAATAAAAATAAATTATTTATATTTGTAAGTTAATAACATATAGTAGTAATCTATCTAAATTTGATTGCATATAAATTTTAATTTTTTTTTACAATTTATATTTACAATAAAAAAAATAGTTTGACAATAATGCTTTTATTTTTTGTAAATTTTTAATTAAATGATAGAAATAAGTAACAAAATGTCAAAATTATAGAGTATTTGTTTATTTTATTTTCAACAATCTATTTTTATTGTTCGTTAAGAATAACGCATACTTCTCTTATTGGTTTGAAAGCTAAGACTTCTATAATTAATAACATTCCAATACAAAATATCAAATTCTTTTACTAAGGGGGTGTATTCCATTGGGATTTTAGATGGATTTCTAAGGATTTGATTGAATTCTTTATGGATTTATATGAATTTTGTAGGATTGTAAAATAATTTTTTTTGTGAATATATATTAATTATATAAATTTATATCAAACAATAAATTTTATAAATATAATAAATAATTATTAATAAGATAATATTTAATACTAATAAATAATATATAAGTATTAATAAATAATATATACGTATTTACTTTTTATGTAAAAAATTATATTAAAATAAATAAATAAATAACTTATGATTTTTTTAAAAAAAAAATATATATAAATTAACAGTTTAACAAAAAAATATATATTTTAAATATCTATTTTACCGTTATCATCATGTTAATATAGTGTACTCGATAATTGAAAAGAAAAGACGACTATAATACATATTTATTGTGATAATAATATTTTTTAAAATTATATTTATAATATAAAAATATATATTTTAAAAAAAATTCATAATAATTTGTTAATATATTTTAGTTTTAAATTACTATTTGTATTAAAAATAATAATAATAATAAATATTATCGTATTTATTGATCACGTATACAACAACAACAACAACAACAACAATAATAATAATAATAATAATAATAATAATAATAATAATAATAATAATTTTAACAATCCATTAAAATCTGTTATGGTTAAAAGAGATTCTTTTATATACAAAATTTCCACAAAAATCCATTAAAATTCATAGATTTTCAAAGTCTATGGATTCTTGAATATCTCAATATTTTAAAAAACTTTTAAAAGTCTACGTTGAATACCTCAAGATTTGAAAAGACTTTTAAAAGTCTTTGATTGAATACCTCTGAATTTTAAAAGACTTTGAAAAGTCTTGATTGAATACCTCTAGATTTTAAAAGACTTTTAAAAGTCTTGATTGAATACACCCAGATTTTGAAAGTCCAACAAAATCCTACAAAATCTATATTGAATACACCCCATAAGTGTAACTTTATTACATATCACAAATATCGTAAAATTTATTTTTATTTACATCAATACATTAAGGGTGTATTTGTTTGGGGGTTTGGATTTTGAGTTGGGATTTGAATAGTAAAATTTTGAATTTGAATAGTTGTATGATGTGATATAAATAGATGTTGATTTGATGTTTTGAATGTAAAATTGATTTTTTAGTATAATATAAAAAATAAAAAATAGGTGTTTCATTTGATGTTTTTTTAAGAAAAAAATGGAATGGAATAGTAGATTTAAAATCCAATTCCCCCAAACAATTGTAACAATTTCGATAAAAAAAATATAGTGGCAAAATAATATATACATACAAAAGTATAAAAAATTACTATTTCTTTCGTCTCACATATAATATCACACATTTCATTTATTTATGTTTCATATCTCATATATTCTCATATTTACACTTATTGTAACATTATATCGGATAGAGACAATATTAAAATATAATAGAAAATTTTCCAAAAAAATATACATTTATTTTTATATATTTTATATATTTTTCATTTAAAAATATCACTTTTATTTTATTTATATCAAATTCAATAATTATTTTAATTTAAAATTTGATACACAAAAGAATATCAAATAAATAATATATAACATAATACTCTATTTGTCCGTCAAAATCATATGACCGTTCTTTTTTTTTTTTTGTTGTCGGCTAAACTTATATACAATCTATTTATAATAAATAATTTTATTCATTTATAATTTTATTACCCTTATTTTAACAAATAATAACTAAATTGTTATTTTTTAAAAAATTATTCAACTATTTTTTTATCAATCATTTTAATAAATTTACCATAATACTATCATTTTATTTTTTATATACATCACTTTAATATTAAAATTTCATTATTTCTTAGTCTCAATTTCTAAACAACCTACAATTTATAGGACGAAATGAATATAATACATACTATCGCAACCCACATTTTAAAAAATAATCTGAATTATTTTTTTATTTGATGTGATTTTCAGGACTGCATTTTCGTCTCGAGTCTCATGTAGTATTAAAAGTGAAATGTCATGAAATGATTAGAATGAAAAAGGATATGAAATCCACATGCAATTTTTTAAAAAAATAGACAAATAAAATAAAAAATAAATCCCACACCACAAAAAAAAAAAGAAAAAAAAAAAAAAAGAAAAGTGGATCCTATACCAAAACATTAAATAGTACTCTATCTTTTGTATACAAATAATATCATTTCTATTTTATCTATTTTATAACAAATGATTTTTTTTTATATTTTTAGTAATATTTATTAATTTAAAATATATTTAACAAATATAAATTAATTTAATTGACTTTATAATATATAACAATCTACTCAAAATTCTTTTATTTCTAGTCCACTCATCAATAAATAAATATTTCTATTTACATTTAGAACTCTTTATCTTTAATAAAAATTAGTTTTTATTAATCAATTATATTTGTTCAATTTGTACTATATAAATTTTATTATAAAATATGTAGAGTATATTTATATTGAGCTATCATTTTTAAAATATTTAAATGCATATTCTATATTTCTAATTATATTTAATTTCTAAAATATTTAAATGCATATTCTATATTTTTAATTATATTTAATTTCTATTTTAAGATTACTAATAATATTTCTTATATAAAACATATAATAAAATAATACTTCATTGGTCTAATTTACCTTGTCTATTTTTCATTTTCGACTGTCCATTTATTCTATCATTTTTTTTTCTAATTATACATTTTAATCTTATTTTAAAATTTATATATATAATTCTTTTAATATTAATTAGAATAAATAGTTATTTTAATTTTAATATAAAATTATTTTTATTATACTATAATTATTTTTACGAATACATTTTTAATTATTTACTAATTATACTCATGTCTACATAATCAATAGAAATATAAGAAATTATTTTTATTATACAATAATTATTTTTTTAATATATTTTTGTGTCTACATAAATTCTCGTGTTTACAGTAGATGGGACACGTAGGAGGACTGTATTATTATTAACTAATTAAATATAATCATATTTAAAAAATTAAATTAAAATAAATTATATATACTGTTATTAAATTGTGGGGCCCACTATATTAAAAATTAAAAAAAATAAAACGGTGAAGGTAAAAAAATATAAAATAAAAAAATAAAATTTAAATTATATATTATTATATATGGGTCCCACATTCAAAACTTAAAAAAAAAAAGGAAAAATAGAAAGGGGCGACGTGCCGGAAAAGTTTCGTCCCCAATATTATATATATATATATATATATATATACACGATGCGATTAGATATTAGAAATTATATAATACTATGCTTTTTATATTAATTTTTGTTTATGGCATAAATAAACAACTTTTTAAGACTGTTGTTTTGGATAGTATACTACAAAATAATTTTAAATGATATAAAGTTATGATTAAGAAAAATCTATCCAATAAATAATAAAGAGAAATATTTTATAAAAAATTCAAATATTTGAAATATATATATATATATTGAGACCCACACCATTCTTGTCTCACACCATTCTTCCTATATATATACTTATTATTATTTTTGTTCCGACAAAATATATCTCACATGTTTGCAAAAATCGTTATTTCTCTACTTTGGCCGTGCGTAATGGCGCGTGGTGTGAATGTCACGTGCGGGTAGATGACATAAATAGCGACTTTTGTAAATATATGGGAATATTTTTTGCAATTTTCTCCTCTAAGGGCTATTGATTTAATAATTTTACAAGTAATCGTTATTGTTCATAGGTAATACTAAAAATACCAACATATCAAAACTTACCTCAATTAAAATTTTAAAAAATATAAGTAAACTAATATTTTCATTTTTTTAAAAAAAATTATAGTAGTTTTTATTTTATTTGACACCTTTTGTATATGGTATATACTAAACTCTAGTACAATGACGTCAAAATTGCATACAGTGATATACAATTTATTGGTTAAATATACAACAATAGTATATACCAAAAATCCTATATTTGGATATAGGATGAACCGTATACCACATTTTCAATACTTTTTTCCACCCTACATTTAACTTAAGCAGGAACAAAAAGCCTCGACTATGTGATGTGATGATTATAAATTGCAGTAATAAAATCTATGCACACCCAAAGTTTGGGCTTAACACTTTATAATAACATAAATTATTCCAATAACTTTATTGATGAAATGATCATTTAATACAGTGTAAAATAATCAAGTAAATACTTCCAATATTTTACTAAATAAATATAAAAATTCTCTTTCCCATCAACCATTACCAGGTAGTAATTATGCCCCAAATATACAGCATTGCAATATTTGTTTGGCTTTCTTTACAAAAGAAGACTCATCATCACTAAACAGAAACGACAAAGAAGCAAAGATGATACAAATGCCAGCCAAATATGTACATAACAATATTCATTCTTAGTTAAGTATTAAACTTGAGGAATGTTAGAAAAGGAGAAGCCTTTGTACCCTTTGTAAGCATAGTAGGCAATTCTTGTGTAATAGAATCCTGGGATGAACAGAATCCCACCCAATACAGCAAAAAACAACCCTGAATTCATTCGAAATTAAAAGCATTTCTCAGTTCTCGAAATTTCAAATCTACACCACAATCGAAAGATTGTAATTGAGGAACAATCGAAACTAGATTTCAGTAATCCCTGAACTTTATCTTATACTGAACTATATATATCTCCCTCGGAACAACATAACCCGTGAGTCATTACAGTTTGCCTGAAAGCTCAGTGTAAACCCGACATATGTAAGTTGGTGTCGGATAAACTTGACTGAGCTTTGGGTTGGAAAAATTGAAATTCAATCTACATAGCATAACATGTAGGAAAAATAAAAGACAGTGTCCAGCAAAAAGTCCACAGCAAGAGGTGTCATAAGTTTAATTATGTACTCCCACCAAGAATGCATCAAATCTATCCACACAAAAGATAAATGGCGAAAAGGGGATGGAAGCAACCAAAATCTTCAGCCCACGACAAAGTATTAACTATATACCATCAACGCATAATTATAAACTCTGCAATACCTAAACTACTCTCTAAAATGGGCATCTCGAAGACATGCTAGGTAAAAATATATCCAAAGTCAGATGCAAGGATATTCTTGCATATGTGCATATGCTAGCTAGTCACTGCTTGATCAATAATGGTAGCAAATTCATCTTCTATTCATGATTACACAATTCATCTTCATTGTCATTAACTTGTTCAAAAACTAAAGTGTCTCGATTATAAACATCTATAATAAGAGCCACCATAAAGTTTTGCATTTCTATTTGCACTTATGAACCATGCCCTCCATATCCATTCAGATATTTATCGTTTTTCTCCCTTCAAAGTTTTTTAACTTAGCCATAAAGTGCTCCCAAAGTTACTTAGAGCTGTTTAATCGAATCGGTGGCAGAAGAATTCACGTGAGTTCCAGAAATTCATATTTAGTGTGAAAATTAATGATTCAGAACCTATGAAACCTTTTTCCCCTAAATTAACAGGCAAGTGTCGAGAATCAACGCATTGCCTGAGAAACAAGCACTTACATTTTTTTTTACAGCATTATATACATTTTCAGTATGATAGTGCCAATTTCACCCCATTGAAAATTCTCCACGCATCACTACAGATTATTAGTTTAATTGAGTCCCCACGCGATCCACAATTCATCGCCAAAAGCCACAAAACAGCAGAAACCATCTCACGATGAAAAAAATTAACAACGATAGAATATTAATTAAATAAATAAATAATACCGTGCGCGCGGTCGCCGCCGATTCGATTGGCAGCCATGTAGATTCCGACGACAATACCGAGCGCGCCAAAGACGAAGAGTGCAACGGAGAGGCCGATCTCCTTGACTGGTGGCCGGTTCTCCACGGCGTGCGACGAATCCATCATTAAATCTTCATCCGATATCGAAAACGCATGATCCACGTACGCCATTCCGAGCTTCTACTGATTGGAGCAGAGAATTTTGCAGCAAAGTGGGTATGAAGTAAGGAATTGGGGAGCGAGTTTGCGTGGAGACGAAGGGATGGGAAGGGAAGAAATTGGTAAGGTAAGGTAAGAAAGAACGGAGATTTGTCTTCACTCTACTCTAGGGTTTGGTGTGGGATTTATATTTATTAATTATTTTGCTATTTTCTTTTGAATTAAAAAAAAAAAAAAAAAACACTGTTTTAAAATCGCAAATATAAAAAAAATCTATATATTAACAATCCAATCTAATATCTAATATATATATATATATTTACTGTTGATTTTGTGTCGTCACGCGACGATCCAATTTTTTTTCTATTTTTAGTGACTTATTAGAAGCCTTTCTAGGCTGTGAAATTTGAAGTTTAATGGATGTCCTGAAAAATGACTGTCGGAGACAGCTGAGATCCAATGTCACTTAAATTAGCAATGATGTAAGTTTCCTAACAATTCATTTCGTCAAAAAGAATGCAAGGTCGGGATGACAAAAATGGTGAACTGTGTGAATGTTTATGCCCCTAATGAAATTAGTAATAGAAGGACAGCGTGGGAAAGTTTGAAAAATACATGGAACCAAGGGAAAGGCTGGTGGTGCCTCGAGCGAGACTTCAACTCCACACTTCATGAAAACGAAACGAAAGGCAGCAACGATGATGCTAGATCTAGGTATGATTTTCTAGATCTGGTTAACTATATGGAATTGACCGATCTTCTGATGGTAGGGGGAAAATTCACATGGTGCGGCAACAAAGGTTGTTCTCTATTTCGATTCGATAGATTTTGTTAAGTGTGGATTGGATATTAGAAGAGAAAGGATGGGTGCAGAAAAACAAAAAAACATTGTCTCTCTAATTACATACCAGTTTCCCTAGAAGCAGGTTATATTGATTGGGGTCCGAAACTATTCCGTTTCTTTAATCACTGGCTGCTGGATAATAATTTTTGCAAGAAAATGAAGGAGGATTGAGAAGGCCTACTCGAGAAAGGAGAATGGTGCAGAGATTTTGGAAAGAAATTGTCGGATGTTTAAAATACTATCAAAGGGTGGGAGGATTATAGCAGAGGAGATTTTGCGCGAAAAATCAAACTGGTAGAGAGAGTGTGCGATACCCTGACTTGCAAGCCACGCAGAGCCGGGCGTGTCAAAATTAGACTGGCCCCTCTAGAGCAAGCACGTTAACTCTAAAGTTCTTTTAGTATAGTTCCTGAAAATGAATGTGCATATTGTTGACATGAGTAGTTTATTAAATTCATTTAATCTCTATTCAACCTCGGGGATATCACATCTTTCCCGACGCATATCACTATTGAACTCCGGGGGTATTACAGAGAGCTGGCAGTGTTGGATATTCAATTAGAAGAGAATCCAGTTGATGAAGCCTTGGAAAAACGCCTTTGGAAGAAGAAATGTGAGCTATGGCGGACTTTCTATATTGAAGAGAGTTCGTGGAGGCAAAAGTCGAGAGATATATAGATATGGGAGGGGGTTAGAAATACTAGGTACTTCCTGTCTCGTTGTAAATTGAGGTATGCGAAGAATCAAATTATGAAGGTGACTTGGAGTGGGAATAACTGAGAAGGACCCATTGGTATTAACGTGACGGCGTTTAATTATTTCAAAGAGCTTTTTGAGGAAAGAGAAGGAAGCTAGCCCCGAATATCGGAGCATGTGCCGAGGAACCTTGGAATGTAGTTCAAAGTTGTCAAGGTGATAAAGCCCCGGGTTTAGATGGATTTAAACTTAAATACATCAAGATTTTTTAGGTTCAAATGAGTAGTGTAGTTGGTGGATAATTTTCAGTAGAATCTTATAATTCCTCAAGAATTCGGGGCATCATTTATCTCTTTAATCTCGAAAGTGTCTTCCCTGAGTTCATTTCAGGATTTTCGGCTAATGACTCTACTAGGGAGCATGTATAAAATTGTGGCAAAGATTTTCAATCTCAGAATGCGAAAAAATATGCCGGAGATAATCAAACCTCAACAAATGGCCTTTTTTAAAGGAAGGAAAATTTTGGACTGCATCCTCATTGTGACCGAGACCATTCACTAGGCTAGAAAATAGAAGATTAAGGAGCATTTGTCATTAAACTCAAATTTTTCCAAGGCCTACGATAATGTCTCATGGAAAGCGCTGGAAAATACGCTCTATGTGATGAATTTTGGCGAAAGATGGATCTCTTGGGTCCTAGGATGTGTTAAGTCAGAATCGGCGGCGATAGCACATATTTTTTTTTTTCAGTTTGGGAGTGAGATACGTCAAGGAGATCCACTATCAATCTATCTATTTTTTATTGTGGCAGAGATTCTCAATGTTATGATTAACCGAGCTATAGATTTGGGGCTGCTGATGGGAATAAAGGTTGGATTTCAGGGAGTGTTATTTGGAGCATGTTATAGTGCTTAGGTGAATATTGAGAATATTTTGTATTTGCACTGGTTGAGATCAAGGGAGGGTGTATTCAATTATGATTCTATGGGATTTTTTTGAACTTTTTTTGAACTTTTAAAATTTTGGTGTGTATTCAATCAAGACTTTTAATTTTTTTTTAAAAAAATTTGGAGGTATTCAATTTCGACTTTTTAAAGTTTTTTTATTCAACAATCCATAAACTTTTAAAATCTACGGATTTTATTGAATTTTGATGGAAAATTAGAAAATTTGTATAGTATAAAATCTCCCATAATAAGTAGAAATTTTGATAGATTCTTAAATTTATTATTATTATTATTATTGTTGTTGTTGTTGGTGGTGGTGGTGGTGGTGGTGGTGGTGGTGGTGTTGTTGTTGTTGTATACGTGATAAATAATGTAATAATATTTACTAATATTATTATAATTTTCAATAAAATAATAATTTCAAATTAAAATATATAAGCGAATTATTTTTAATTTTTTAAAAACATATATTTTTATATTATAAATATAATATTTAAAATTTATTATTTTATAATAAATATATATTATTGCTATCTTTTCTTTTCAATTATTGAATACAATATATTATCATTCCAGTGTCGTTTTTTCTTTTCAATTATCGAATACACTATATTGTCATATCGGTGATAATGAAATAGATATATATATTTTTTAATTGAATCGCTAGTTTATATTTATTTACTTTTTTATTTCGATATTTTTTTAAAAAAATCGTAAATTATGTTTTTTACTTTATTTATATACATATTTATTTTTTATGTAAAAAATTATATAAATAATAATAACTAATAAAAAATATAAAAATAATTTGATATATTAAATAATTATATAATACTAAAAACTATAAAATTAAAATATTAATATACCATATAATAGTGTTATATATGTTACAATAATTTTTACATTATTAATAATTATATATTATTTATTTATTTATTTTATAAAAATATAATAATATTTAATAAATTTAATTATAAATATATTACATTTATAAAACTTATGTTTAATACAATTTTATATAATTATATATATGTTATCAAATATAAAGTATAAATATATAAGTATTTATTAACAAATATATGTAATATATAATATATATAAAGAGATGGGATAGAGAGAGAAAACTTTTAAAGATAGTAAATAAAAATTATATATTTATAGAAAGAGTGAAAGAGTAGTTGAGAGAGAGAAAAATTTTCACCCATCATTATGAATAATATCGTGACTATATATAGTCGATGTCAATTCGCTTATGATGCTGATTTAATCTGCGTCGTCGATGAAAAATGAAGTTAATAGATGAGATTTGAAGGAAAGATTAAAATGTAATTTTAATATACTAATTATAGTAACATAAATTTATTATATCAATCTTAATTCATATGATTTACATATGGAACAACAATATTTTGGAAAGAAATTAAAAAATATATATTAACAAACTTTTATACCATTTGTTTTATATTTATCTGTATGCTATTTTAAAATTTCTTCCTAAACTTTCATTGGTTGATTCTTTGTCACGTGAAGTAGATGAATAATATTTTAGGAGATGCACATCTTAGCCCTGCTATCGCATAAAACAATAATGCATCAACTTCGTCAAAATAAAACTATAATTAATAAGATTTTTTATAATTATGGTAGAATTTATAATTAATATCAACTAAATTTTTTGCTTTATTTGAACTAATTACTTCAAATAAAATTATTGGTCAAAATATTTTAATTGTAAAAAAATATGTTATATATAATAGATATAAAATTAATTCAACAAAGTACATGTACAGCAAACAGTGTAGAACATGACATCATATCATCAAGTTGTTAATAGCATATGTGTATACAACCGATAGCATAACATGAGTTAAGATTTACATAAGATTTATCAAATCAATTTCTTGTTTTATTTGAACTAATTACTTCAAATAAAACTATTGGCAAAATATTTTAATTTCAAAAAAATATGTCATATATAATAAATATAAAATCTAATTCAACAAATAACATGTACAACAAATCGAGTATGACGTGACATCATATCATTGAGTTGTTGATAGCATAGTTGTATACAACCGAGAGCATAACATCCTGTGGTACTATCTAGATAAGATTTAATAACATAATTAATAAGATTTCATACCATAATTATTGAGATCATTAATTATAGTAACGTTTATAATTAATTTCATATCAATATATTGACTTAATTAAATTAATTACTTAAGTTAAATAATATAATACCTTAATAAAATAATATTACGTAAATATAAAATATTAATTATGCAAGTAACCTGTTAAGTAGACATTATAAATCATGAATAAAGCATATTACAAAATCACATATATCATATGCATATCTAGTCGATAGCATATTGAAATATGAGACAATATTTGAATAAGATTTGAAACCATAATTAAGGTAATATTGATAATTACCGTAATGTTTGTAATTATTATTATATCAATTTCTTTCCTTAATTGAACTAATTTCTTTAAATAAAATTATTGTAAAAATTATTTTAATTTCAAAAATATTTATCATATATAATAAATATAAAATTTAATTCAACAAATAATATGTACAACAAATAGTGTATAACGTGACATCATATCATCTAGTTGTTGATAGAATATGTGTATAAAGCCGATAGCATAATATCCTATA